ATACATTATACCCGAGAAGAGTTGGTTTCCGGGTAAAATTACAATTACCCCCGTCAAAGGTGTGGTGTCGAACTTCAAAAACAATCTCAATGAAGCCCAACGTCGAATCCTTCAGAATACGTGTTTCGCTCACTTCCTGCAATGCGAGGAAATTGTTATCCAATCGCAGCTGATACACTATTTTCTTCTGAGACAAGTGCAAAAACCTAATGAGAGTGAGTTGTGGTTCAACATAGCTGGAAGATTCGTGCGGTTCTCAATTTCAGAATTTTGTTTGGTGACTAGTTTGAGATATGTCGGCGATGATAACACAAGTAGGATGGAGAAGACTCCATCACGATTGAAAAATTTGTATTTTTTAAGGTTGAAAAATGTTACTCATGAAAATATCAAGGACGCATTTTTTGGTTCTACTGACATTCCGGATGAGGATGTTGCCATGCTAGGTGCATTGTATTTCATAACATCTTATCTACATCCGAGAGACTACAAGAAGGCTGTGGAGCACTTCTTATTTATACTAGTTGAAGATTTTAGTGCAATGAATGTGTTTCCATGGGGTAAGTCGCTGTTTGACAAACTAGTAAATTCATTGAGGGAGGGGTTGAGTAAGAGATCAACATATTACAGACTCAGAGGCATGCTTGTAGCCTTTCAAGTGTGGATTTACGAGACAATACCCAGTCTCCATGGATACACTGCGAGAAGGATTTCCAGAGTGTACCCCAGGATAATGAACTGGATGGCTGATGATCACCCTTCGGCTGCGAAGCTTGAGGGACCTGAATGCTTCTCCAATCCCGACGTAAGTGACCACCGATGCAGCAGTTCTGGTTTCAAAATATTAAACTGGCACATTTTTCTCATGTTCCAGATCATATTTCTTAGGTCACAAATATATTTTCGTCAAGTCACAAATTGCATTCTCGAAGTCACAGATTTACTCATTATGTCATAGATCATTTCATACTAGGTCACAGACATTTTCACGGCGCCATTTGCTCTTGTTATATCACAATTAATGCAAACAAATTGAATATGTGTGATGTGCAAAGCTATATCTGTTTGTTCATACATAATTTTTGGTTGTTGACATTGCACTTTTTGTTGTGATATAAATGGCAGTTGGAAATATATGACCTGGAACCCCCACCAGCTGAATTGGCAATGCCATACATGAGTCAGGTGCAGTATGAGAAACCTATCCTACCCAATCGGTCACATGGGGAGAAGAGAAAGGGTGGTAGCATACACCGATCAGATCATCGTGCTGGGACTAGTACAAAACCAAGTAATCCAGGAATGAAACAATCTACTCCCATGCTTTTGATAACCGATGGACGATTGGGACACTCTGATCTCCCCATTGATGATGATGACTTTGTTGACGCACCACCCAGTTGGAAGGGGACATCAATCCATGAAGATTCTCCAACTGGGGAGTTTAAATCAGATGACACCACTGATTCAGAGGATATGCCGTCAAAAGATGTAAGCTCTTCCAATTTCATCTATCATGTCACAAGTCCATTTGGTCACATAAAAATTCAGGTCACACGTTTCGGTGACTGGGTCACATACCAATACACATGTCACTGCTGATCACAGATCAATGTCATATTTCATCATCATAATTTTACTGATTATAGGTATTCATGTGATGCAGGTGGTCAACGAATTGAAGAATTATTTCAAAGGGCAGATATCTGATCTAAAGTCTGAGAATCGGTTGCTAAGCAAACAGCTCAAGTCAATGCAGTCACAGGTGTCTTCTTTAAAGTCTGATCAGCAAAGGAAACTGAATCTGCTAGTTCGTATGCAAGGTGAAATTCGTACTGACATGTTGGACATCAAAGCACACATGCAGTGTATGTCTGATTCTGTGACTACATTGATATCTACTTCAATGGAAGAAATTATGAAAAAATTCAGAGAGAACGCAGGACAAGAAATTGTTGTAGGATCTGGACCAACATGCGAAGTCAGTACCCCAACTGTGACTGCCTCTTACTTGTCTGTTTACCCCAAACCGTTTGATATACACTTCTCATCAAATGCATTTTTGTTCTAATTTTCAGGCTGCAAAAGTCGAACGAAGTGTTGATTCGAAAGGCAAGGCGAAGGTTGATTCTGTGTGTGCAGTTGAATTCCCATGTTCTATTGAACCTCCATCTTTTGATCTCGGTCTTGGATTCACACAACCAAGCCAGATTGTTGCAAAAGCATCAAAGGAAGTTGACAGGCAAGTTGAATCGGTCATAGCCGATGTTTTGAAGGACACGAAATGTTTTCAGCAAGAGGTATCCAAATATCGATGTATTTTTGGTGATTAATGCATGTCACATATTAAAGAACACATTTTACTACGCAGCACTCACCTGAGGCTGCACCAAGTTCTGGATTGCCGGTGAAGCCAGCTAAAGCCCTTCAGTCCCCTTATGTTGTCGACAAAATGAAACAAATGAAATCTTCAGGAAATGTAGTGGTCTTTGAACACTACAATCAGAATGTACAAGATGCAGATGTTGCTGATTTTCAAAATTGGTTTCAAAGAGGATACAAACCGCATAACAAGTACGAAATTGTTGTCCTATTTTCATAATGTTCCAAATAATGATCCGTTCTTCTCGTTTGCAGGAAGAAGTTCAATGATAAAGATGATGTCATCCGTCCACCTTTTTCCATCGGTTAGTACTTGGTGGGAAACAAGACATGGTGGTACGAACTTGTATCCAGGGAGGTGTCGTTGACTAGTTCGGTAAGTCACTACACAAAAGTAAAAGTTCTAAAGGGTATGTTACAGTACAGGTCACATTAGTCACAGTTTTTTGTATACTAGTCACACAGAGCATGGGTCACAGATCACACGAGCAGTAGGTCACAGATGATGTGTAGGTCACAGATCACGCGAACAGTAGGTCACAGCTGATGCCTGGGTCACAAATCACACGAACAGTAGGTCACAATCCGTGCTGCACATGAGAACACATATCTGCAGGTGCATCAGTATAGCACACATGTCTTTATTACGTCCGGTTCAGTTATGGAGTGGTCACTAACTACAGATTGTAGTGATCACATTCTAGCCGAGTCACACATCAAATTAACAGCTTATTGCATCGTGTTTTCTGGTGTATACATGGTTTCTAAATTGTTTATTGTACTTTCATCTCTATAGCATATGGACGTGTGCTTCTATTATATACGTCAACTGGCAAGAAGTGCGAGAGATTTCAAGTTTGTAGCTACCACAACGGACTCGTTGTTCCAGGCCAACCTAAAGCACATGTATCCTAGTTTCAAGGATGATGCAAATGTTCTTGTCACGGATGATAGACTGATTAACGATATTACCGGTGCGCGAATTCCATCGAGCACTCCATGGGCTGAAGTTGACCTTGTGTTTATCCCACTTCTACCTACCAACAAAGCACATTGGATGCTTGGAGTGTTGGACATAAAGGCACATACGTTGCGTTTATTGAATTCGTCCAGGAAGACATACAATGATATCAAAGTCCGTACTGGAATTGAACCCTTTGTCAGCATGCTTCCGCATCTTATGAAATCTGTTGGAATATGGAAAAAAGATTCCATGGAGTTGAATATGGATTTTGATTTCTCTCTTCCCCAACAGAAAAATGGGCAAGTTTTTTTTTCCCTCCACTAACAGTTAAACATATTATAACTTGCTGGATTTCATAGCTAATATTCTATTTTTTGTGTTCCTAGACATGATTGTGGCATTTACGTAGTCAAGTACGCGGAGTACATGCTACATGACGATATAGGATCCATGCCAATGAAGTTTGATGCGGGGAGAGCTCGGTTGGATGTAGCTTCACTGTTGTTCAAATATCGTGAAATTGGGAAGACTAGAAAGCCGGTGTAGCCTACTGGTGGGGAAAGCATTGTTTTAGAGTGATAGTGCAATTTAGAAGTAACATGTTGTAATAGCAGGAAACATTGTCTCGTGTTTTGGAAATTCGTTTGTAATGACAACGCAGTTATTACTTTTGTCTGTTTATATCAAAAAGTTCATTAATGTTTGGGGACTTTACTACAAGTTTCACTATATATCATATTTTGCTATATTGACACCGTATCGAGGACAAAGTCTCAAAATTTAATGGTTACCTACAGTTTTTAGGATTATCACAGGTCACCAGTTTCTAGGATTATCTGCAGTTCCAAGGTCACTGGTTTGTGTAATTTGGTCACAGGTCAATTCCCATTGTCACAGGTCATTGCACCCTGGTCACAGGTTACTTGCAGTTTTTAGGATTATCACAGGTCACCAGTTTCTAGGATTATCTGCAGTTCCAAAGGTCACTGGTTTGTGTAATTTGGTCACAGGTCAATTCTTATTGTCACAGGTCACAGGTCATAGGTTACCTGCAGTTTTTAGGATTATCACAGGTCACCAGTTTCTAGGATTATCTGCAGTTCCAAAGGTCATTGGTTTGTGTAATTTGGTCACAGGTCAATTCCCATTGTCACAGGTCACTGCACCCTGGTCACAGGTCACAGTATATTGGTCACAGGTCATGAAGAATTATTAAAAGTCAATCCAATCTGGTCACAGGTTATTGAAGATTTGTTACAGATCATTTCATACATTTGTCACAGCTGAACCACTTCCATTTTGCAGAGTCTTTGCAATATGTCACTGGTCATCTTTTGTTGGTCACAATAAATGGTCACAGATCTCTGCATATTGGTCACAACTCATTGACATCTAGTCACAGATGATTTCATAAATTCACAGTTGATTGCACAGGGCTCACAGGTCACTGAATTCTGGTCACAGATCATTTATATTGGTCACAAGTCACTGCATTCTGGTCACATGTCATTAATAATGATCATAATTAACGCATACTAGTCACATGTTATTGTAGAATGATCACAGATCATTAATTTGTGTCATCCAATGTTTTGCATCCTACGTTTACAAAAAATCAATGAATGAAAAAAACAATGGAATTATAAAAATTTTATCAATGTGCATTTCCAGTTTTTATCCTCTTCCTCTCTTTATTCTTGTTGCTTTGACTCAACGGAACTAAGCTGCTGCATGTTCTACGATTGTGACCATTTTCACCACACCGACCACATTTGACGGTTATGTTTTCCTCGTACGCTGCTTTGAATCTCTTCTCAGTAGGCCTTTCACAACTTCGCTTTTGATTAGGTGCAATTACAACTATGTCATGGACATCATTTGGCACTGTCCATTCAACTGGATTTCCTACCGAAAAAATGGTTTCTTGGTATGTATTTCTGAACGCTTCACTTGTGTAGTAGTAGGAGCAGTATTCATATGGATCCATCTTCATACTCGCAAACACAGCCAAAGCATGTGGACAAGGTAGTTGATCAACTTGAAGAATCCTACATGTGCATGTTCGGTTTTCTATATCAACAACGAAGGAGGAACTTTCACCGCTAACTGAGAACATTGCCTGATTAATAGGTGAAACCTACAGATATAGACTCAAGTTATAGGCATAACAAGTCACGTAATTAAAAAGTAGGACACAGATGAAATTGCATGTCATGTAGTTCTATATAATATTGTACAAATATTACTGAAACACAACGGTACAGATCACAACAGAAGTCACAGCACATGTCACAGATCAGATCCGGTAAGTCACAGATTATAGATTAGGTCACAGTAATCAAGCTTACCCTCAAGTTTCTCATATCTGTACTCATATTCCTCATCTTCTTCTCATACTTGATTGACAAGGTTGTAAAAGTGCCTTGGGCATCCTCCTTGTGTCTACAGAACCAAGATTGTAGAATTTGTCTCAATGACTCCAACAAAGTTAGAATAGGGTAGTTCTTGGCAGACTTTGTGACCGCATTAACCGACTCCACAATATTCGATGTCATTGTAGAATACCGGTTTGAAGGCATGTGGAAATGTGACCATCTCTCAGGTCCAACTTCGTCCTACAAAACAAAACCATGGAAATGTGTATCATATAGCGTACAGTACCATGTAAAACGTATTTATGTGAATATCATCATAGGACAACATATAGTATAGTACCAGATAACCCCTTATCTTCTGATTAATCGAGCCGAGTTGTTGCATGTAATATTCATATTCCAATAGTGTGTAGGCACGAACAGCTGCATTGAATGCTTGTGTTATGTTTTGTCCTGATCTCCCATACCGTGATTTTAGATTTTGTAGTAGATGGTAAGAACATATCCCGTGACATGCTCCCGGATACACGTTTTCAATCGCCTTTTTGATGCTGTTGTGACGATCCGACACGAAGCACAAACTGTCTCTATCCCCATATGCTTTTCTTAACTGTCTAAAAAACCATGTCCAGGAGCTGTCATTCTCGTTATCCCCAATCCCGAAAGCAAGTACATAAATGCTGTTATTTGCATCTTGTGTACATGCCGTGAATAAGGTGCCAACATAGTGTCCATTTAGATAACATAGTGTCCATTTAGATAGGTGTCATCAACCACAACAACTGGCCTACAATGTTTCCATCCCCGTATAGATGCACCTAGTGCCATGAAGCAATATTTAAACCTATTTGACCATCAATTTCTAGACATGTGACTGATCCAGGATTTGTTTGTTGTAGCACAGAAAAAAGGCTGGTATCTTATTGAATGAATCAGTTGGATCACCCCTAAGCACTTTCAGAGTTTCCTCTCGAGATCGCCAAGCTTGGACATAATTCAAAGATACTCCGTATGTATGCAGCACGTCGTTGCGTATATCATTCGGTGTGTATATTGTGCGCGATGATGTGTACTTATACTTAATGCAAGTTGACACAATCGTCTTTGTTACTTGCCTATGAGTACTGAGTATGATGTTTGAAGCACATATGTGACCTTCTGCAATGTGTCTGATTTTAAACATATCTGTTTTGGCTAGCTTCGATGCTCTACATATCCAATTACACTCATCACGTGAACATTTTACAAGATAGTCTTTCTTATCGGACCGAACAACCACGTACTCAAACATGTTCTGGATTGCATAAAACGACAAGCTCAATTTCATTATCTCCTTGTTACGGAAGACTCTTCCTTCCTCTACCACCCTAGCATCTGCCACCGCCACAACTGTGACCTCATGCTCAAGATTGTCACTAGATGGATCCATTATTGCTCCACATATGTCTGATGACATATTTGTTAATGAAAACTAGTGTTCGTTTGATTGAACATCAACTGATAGAGCAATAGGCTGTTTTTCGATATCCGCAGTTGTCACCTCGATGTGAATTGGATATTTCGCAGGGTCACGACTCATATCCTTTAAAACCATGTAAGATAAGACGTTCTCATCACTTTTGATTGCTACTGGAGGCAGATCACTGTTCAAGACATACTTCATTGTCACAGCAACTTTTGCAGGGTCAAAGCTAAACTCTTTCATAACTGTGTCGACAAGCCTCAAATACCCGCAACTACGATCAATTAAAACCAGTGACACTTGTGATCCATTCAACAGACACACGTGAATTAACCCCATTTTCTGCAAAATTAGCAAATACATGATCAGCCTAACATCCAAATATATGTTAAATCTAATTGCAAATGGGTCAAAATTAAATTAATGGTCAAATATCACAATAAACATATATTGAATCTCAATTATCATTGTCACGTATTGAAAACATGCAAGTCACATAGTTTTATTTCCCAGATTTTTTTTACGAGAGGTCACATGTGACATTTAAGTCTTTGTATATTGGTTACAGTTAATTGCATGTCGGTCACAATTCTGTTAAATGATCACAGGTCAAAGCAAACGCATGTGGTATCTTGAATGTCATGGTCACACATTGAATACATGCAGGTCACATGTATTCAATGTGTTACAATTACATGCAATAATCAGTCACAGTAACTAAGTATAGGTCTGTCGCATATGATTAGATTCGAACAAGAGCATCAGTATCATAATACACGGATTCAAACATTTCACACATTTCGAGACACAAACACCCATATATACTGAATGCATGAGGTTATATCTTGCATCCAGGGTCACATGTTTTCCATAACGGTCACAACAGTTTCGAACGGCAATGTCCGTTATTCATGATCAGAGTTCTGTCAAAAATCATATTTCTGATCAATCGAAGCTTGTCTAGCGTGAAAAAATGACAAATTATAATGAATAAATCGCAATTACACACCTGATCAATTTAATTACATGCCTGATTAATGTTTTTAGTGACTGTTCGAGCCGATCTCGTACGACCCGCGACTGCAATTTGTGACCAGAATTCGATTTCACCATCAATTCCGCAAGAGCCGGTCGTAATTGGATGTATTTTCAGATCTTCTGGCTATTGAAATTAGATTGAAAGATGAATTAATCTTTTTAGGAGAATTCTGATATTACGGCTCTTTGCTCGGGATTGTTTTCCATATCAAATTATATTAATATTTGTATTTATTTTTAGGCTAATTTCTGATTTTTGAAATATGATACTTATTTTCTTATTTTCGAAATGCCCTATACTTAATCTCTTGTATGTGAAATTTTCCCTTTTATATATCATGTATTCATGAACATCTCATAATTAAAAAGTAAACCCCCGAGTCAAGTGTATGTTTTCAAGCTGTTTTTAGTTTGTAAAACACTGAAACTATGTTTAATCTAGTATTTCTAAAAATATATTTTCGAAAATCAGCACAAACTTATAACATGAAACTCAAAATGCATTTTTGATGTTTTGAGCATTTTCAATGAAAATTCTAAAACACTCTAAACATGGAAAACGAGCATTTAAGTAAAATTATCAAAAATATAAATATAAAATAATTTTAAAAATTTTAAAAAAATCAATAAAAGTAAATTCAGAATAAAAAAATAAAAATAAATTATAAAAATTCCTAGAAAATTCAATTTATTAATTATTTTTATTTTACTTTTGAAGTGAGAAAAATATTGTAAGACTTATCAATTTTAAAATGTAATATTACATGATAATATATTAGCATAAATTTATTTTATTTTACTGAATAATCCAGCACTCCGGGTTGCAAACTCGCTGGCCACCCATGGCCCATTTTTCTTTTATTGTAATTTGGTTCTCCAAATTTAAAAACTTCCATTTTTGTCCCCAAACTTTTCAGTTGTCAATTTTTTCATCCTTAAACTCATGAATTCATCCAATTGTATCCAAAATTTCTTCCAATTGATAATTACAACCCCGAATGATCTTTAAGTGCTTGAATTAATTTTCAATTAAGTTCAAAATCACCACTTTTTGCATCCATTGCTCTCAACCTCGATCTTTTCGTACAATTCACATTAAGTTCACATAATTAACTAGGTAGAAATCCACTCAAATTACTCATAATTTATCAAGATTAAAAGCATAACTAAGCATGTAAAACACTCATATCATCTATAAATACTCCTATTCCAAACATGACTGAAATAAACCGTATCTCAATTGCATATGTATCTCCTTTACATTGGGTACATTTTAGTTTATTAGTATAATTTTTGTCTCACAAATTAGCTAATCAATATAATTTTATTTTATATAAATATAAATATTACTCTTAGATGTATTTATTTTTTGAAGTTTCCGTTAACACTTGTATTTGATAACATGGGTTCGCAGCTGAAAATTAATAAAGAGGTTTGACTATTTAATTCGATACTTAAGAGATCTTGGTAATGCAATTAAGTCATAAAATTGAATGTATTCTCACAGAATTTTTCCTCGCATATTTTAATTGGTTTAAGTATGCATGTAATTAAAGTTGCAAAAGAAGTTAAGGTAAAACGTTAGACTCGTAAATAATAATTTTCAGCTACATGAACTTTAGTGGAGGTTGAAAGCCCCATGAGTCCTCTATCCGTTGGCTTTGGAATCAAGTCAATTAAAGGTTGGTAGGATAAGTTATCCACTTTTCCGTGTGCTGTGTATACTATACTCGGAAACAACTTTTTAATTTTTTTATTTTTAACATGTTTGAGTGTTCATTTGAGTACATAAATGATGTTTGAAAATTCTGAAATTTTACTATGTTGTACTTGAATAAGTTCAGAAAATAAAATTTTCACAGAACTATAAATCCAAAAAATTGTCCAATTAAGCTTAATCATTGGGTTGCACATTGCTGAATTTAATTTTGTTAGTCTACGCTAACATTCATTTTAATCCTCTGTTTTAGTTTCGTTATTTAACAAATCAAGGTTATCATCCTTAAATCATTTGTTTTCTATAATTTTTAGAACTTTTAATAGAACGTAAGGGTAAACTACAAAATAAAAAGAAAATTTTAGGAATAGTTTTATTTAACCCAATTTTTGTTAAAGGAAAAAAAAAAGAACGTTGTTGTTTTTGTACCAATTTCCAATTTAAAGATTTGGGTAGCTACACTAGCCTCAGGATTGAATGGTGCAAAGAAAAAAGAAAAAAAGTCCTTAGAAAATTATTTTGCACCATTTAGGTCATCTCCAACACTGCACCAAATTTTGCACCAAATCAAAATTCCTCTCCAACTATTACATTAAAATTTACACCAAATGAACAGTGCTTTATTATTTTATTCATTCTTTGGATTTTTGACAATGTATTTGTTTTAAAAATTTATTTATTTATTTATTTTATAACTATATAAATTACTAAGTCATAGCATCATTAAATTAACAAATATATTGATTACTAAATTATTCACGTGTCTTATATATTATGTTAAATTGACAAAAATAATTGATTATATTATTAATTTATGATAAACAATTACGTTAAATTTACAAAAATAATAAACTTTAATAATATAAACTTTACATTAAATTGAACTTTAAATGTAAACTTTACGTTAAATTAACAATTACATTAATTATTATTGATTATATTATTAAAAATAATAAACTGAAATAATATAATTAATAGTATAATTATTATTATTATTATTATCATCATCATCATCATCGTCATCATTATTATTATAGAACAAAAATGACACAAATATCCTTAACTATTATCTTTGAAAAATGAAAAATAAAGACAAAATGGACATTGCACCATTTGGTGCAACACTATTCATTACACCATTTTTTGCACCAAAATTTGGTGCAATGATGCAATGGTTAGAGGAACTTTGCACCAAAAAATGGTGCAAAATGGTGTAATGGTACAATGGTTGAAGATGTCCTTAGAGATGAACTGATTACCGACAACGACATATCAGATGGTCGAAGAGGTGAGGCATGCCTTAATGGACTGGCTTATTAACAAAAACTTCCTTCTAGCGAGATGTCAGCAAAAGAAATCAGTATTCATTTCACCAATTAATAGATCTAATAAGGAATGAACCCTCGAAAGTTGAAGGATAACGGAGCAAGGCCGTACGGGAAAACTCAAAAGGAAGGATTCAACCTATGCATCCAGATTGCCCAAAGTACTATACCTTCATTTTTATGAACCCGAGATCAGGATGCATATGCCCTCTGTAACATCCTCACGGATTGAAAGCAAAGTGTATCCATCCTCTTAAAAATAGAAGGTAAAGTTTTATAAAATTTATCGCACTAGAAATCATGAAACAAATGAATGCTTCGACGTGCTTAAGATGGTGAGGCTGAAAACCTAGCAGAGGGGCATGCAAAAAGCACCAATAAATTGATGGCTGCATACCCAGCCAAAAGGTGAGACAAAAGAAGGAAAGAAACAAATGTAGGATAATTTATTACTTTAAATCATCGGATCTTTATGTTAAATCATCAAGAAATTGAAGAATTATAGTGGAAGCGTGCCTGAATCGGACATGGTTATTTACAATAACTGAATCCTGCGATATAGTCTTCCAAACCTACACGCAGCTCGTAATTCTCTCTAGCGATGGGAAACAGAATAGAATGAGCAAAAGATACATGTGATTTGGTGACCATAACCGTATTAATATAGCGATGCCCTTTGACCTAATTCAACCTATCATAGAATTAGGACTTGAGCTGGATCTCTACATATATAGAACTCATACTTTAATTGGATAAATTAAAGCCCAAAAATCGAAACTTTATTAGATCACTTTAAATTGGATTTAACCGAATTTGATAGCCTTTAATTTAACATACAATTATTCACATATATAAGCCCATCTATTGACTAAAAATCCTTACAACAA